GGTATTATTTTGATGAGGTTTCTAAAACAGATGTTGACCAGACAACTTATAAAGTTGATAAAGAGATCCGTACAAAAGATGATAATACTGTTGATAATTTTTACATAATTCATTTATATGACAAATCATGGCAATCCTCATAAGTATTATTTAAATTTTACTGTTTTAGCTATTATAAGATACTAGTATGAGGTTGAACTAGTATAAAGGTATAGGTTCTATCACAAAATCCTAATATTCAAAATCTCGAAACCATAATCCCAATATGACAATTATTGTCAAACTTTATATTTTAATTGTCATAGTATGTGGTATTAGTATTATAGCTTGTAAAATTTTGGATGTTTAGATTTTGTAGTAGAATCAAGTATGCAACATTATAATTTTCTAACCCAATACTAAATTAATCTTTTGACTAACAATATTTTAAGAGTTCCAGTTTAACTTCCCGAAATCTATTTTTCTGAAACATCATTTTACTAAAGTCGTAATACTAAAAATCTGTTTTACTAGCAGGACAGAAATAGGTCTGTATCATTTTGCCAAAAATCAATTAACTGACAAGTTTATTTTACTAACAATTATTTCACTAATCTCTCATTTTACTAATAGGTTTTTTTAAAAATTGCACTAGCCTTAACTCTATTTCTAAATCTGACTCTAATGACAATAGCCAGAATTATTTTGTTGATAAAATGACCGCTGGTTAAATAAACTATCAATTAAATAAACTTGTTGGTTAATTAATATTTGGTGAAATATCACAGACCTATTTCTGTCCTGTTCGTAAAATAGATTATTAGTATTACGACTTCAATAAAAGAGTATTTCAGAAAATAGACTTTGGAAAAGTAAGCAACAACCTATTTTTAAAATATATATTTTTTTATAGCTATATTGTTTATCTTTTTTAGTAATAGAGAAAAACACTAAGATTTTATACTAAATATACCTCATGTTGGATATTTACAATTATTAACATATTTTATTTAATTATTAATTATAATTTATAGCTTTGAAAAATCTTGTGACAAGCTGACAAAACTGGTAAATCAGTTCAGAATATAAAAGTGCAACTCCGACGATGGTATAATGACAAAAATATTATGATGAGTCGACACTACCAAAAAATACTCTTAATTGGACTATTTTATCAGTATACTCTTCTAATAATCATAATAGCGATAATAATATTGATAATAATTAATATTTTTTTATATTCTTAATTATAGTATTTAATATATATAATGTATTTGTTTAGTATTTATATTATATATATATGTATCTTGCTTTTTTTATTTATATATATAATATATAATTATATATATATATTATTAAAATATCATATAATTAAATTAGATATATATATATTAAATATATATGTATATTAAAAATAAATAGTAAAATAATATTTTACATATTAACATTTTGCCAATATGCAATCTATACATAATTATTGTTTTTTTAATATTTATTAAAATTAGTATTAATTAAAAAATATATCAATAAAAATATTAATACTAATATCTTACTTATTAAATTATAATATTGTATAATAGTTAATAACCTAATATGTAACAGGTTTTTAACTATATATGCCACAAATCTGTAAGATATCAGGCTTAAGAGATAGGCAAATATTAGATACCTATTGGTTATATATTAGATAAATATCAGATATCTAATATTTTACTAGAATTTTATTATTCAACTAGTGTATTACACAGAGGGTATATATAATGAATAAATATGGTAGTTTTTTTTATATATTATTCATGTTTTTTTTTTAGTTATATATATTAATAGGATAGAGTTAAATACAGAGCTTCTAGATGTGACAACTTAGTGAAGTGGTGAAGTTGTTGCACTTTCAAGCAATTAAGTATAAGTTTAATTTTCACAAAGAGCGAAAATTAAATTTAAGAAAAATAGATTTGGCAACTATTGTTGTGGCTGTAAAAATTTGAAACTCTGTAACTGTAGTTGTACTAATTAATGGTTTACTAGAACTGGGAGATTTCAGGGTATTTGTATAATAGAGGAGTTATACAAAAACATAAAATCGCAGAAAGCTACAGGGTTGATATAGCAGTAGGGTGCTAGTTTGAAAAGTCTCGAATAGAAAAGTAGCACAGATCTTTGATAGTACTACTGAGATAGGATATATCTGAGGTTAATATAACTGAACGAGAACCAGATATTTGACAAAAATATTTTATCAACCAGGCTACTAAAGTATCAACTAGAGGAAACAAATCTATAAGCAGATACCAAAGAACTAGTATCTCTTCTAGACTATCTGAATTAGAAGTTTAAAGAGATTAACTAGAGTAGTGCCAAAAATAGAAGGTATCAGATAGACTTGAAAAAAGTACTGAGTTTGGGTAAACTCTATAAGAACAGAAGTAGATAATAGTAGCAGCTTTAGCTTGCAAGTACTTGTTCTCAGACTTGGCATAAGTTACCAAAACCTAGATTAGCCAGATTGTGAGTACAAAAAGCTTTAGCAGGTTTGTTCTTAAGGATAAAGAGCTTTCTAAAAATAGTTGAGCTTGTCTTAAAGTTCTAAGCTAGGTGTTTGAAAATAAGAAGTATATAGTATTCTTATTCAGTTATAAGATAACTTTATAGATACAGAGAGTTTAAATAAATAACCCCTAGTTAGATTATAAGTATAGCATCTAGTATAGAACTTAGTAATAAGCAAACTACTTAAATAGACAATCAAAAGTTGTATATGTGGCTAGTTGTATCCTCTAAATATATATATAGTATGCTATAAACATATACTATAAAGTTAATTTTAATCGAATAAAAAGAGATAGCCAAGAGGCTACCTTAATACCAAAAAAAAAATAGATACAGAGCTTCTTTATTTTATAATATGTAATTTTTTATAGTCCAATACAAACTTATAACTATAATCTGTTAGAATCTTTTTTCTTTTTTTTATCCTACTTTTTATCTCTATTTTGTTTTTTAATATTAATTTCTATTCTTTATTCTTATCTTATAAGATTAGTATTAGTGTTAATATTTTTTTTTGTTTTTTTTCACTTTATTACAAAAAGATATTATTAGATTGGTAATATCCTATTGTAAGATAGTAGTCTGATAATGCTTTCTAAAATAGAAATAGTTTCTTTTTTAAAATTTATTGAAATATATTCAAATAGATGTGTCTGTATAGCTAGTTGCTTGTAAGTTCTTTTGAAGCAACTATAAAATGTTGGATCCAAATTATTAGATATATTTAGCTGCACTTTTCATTTTATCTGGTAAATAGAAACTTAATAAAAGAATACTAGCAAATAGCCAAAGTAAAAAAAAGAATGCTTCTATTTAAAACTTTTTTTATTAAATAAATTATTTTTAGACTTATAATAAAAGTTGTAGAGTTTATCAAAAGTTTTATTACAAATCTTGATATTCAAAATCTTGAAAACTATAATTTTAGCATAACAATTAATATTTAAAGATTAATAATTATATTAACAATTATTGTTAAACTTTAAATTTTAATTGTTATATTGTATAATATCAGTATTATAACCTGTTAAGATTTGAAATATTAGAATTTTGTAGTAAAACTCTTATCAAGATATATCTAATAGTAGTAAGAATATTAAAATCAATTTAGTAGTTCTTGAAAATTTTTTAAAAAATATTATATCTATATATAAAATTTTTTTTAAAAAATTAATTTTTTTAAAAAAAATATATATATAAATAACTATTTTTTAAAAATTTTTCAAGAACCACCATGCTAATTTTAATATTTTTACTATTATTAAATATATCTTGATAAGCTCTATAATTTTGTTACAAGCCTAAAAATAATTTACTTAGTAAAAAAAAGTTTAAGATAAAAGCACTTCACTTTTAAACTTATAGTAAAATTTATATATAAAAAAATATTTGTTTAAGTGTCTCATGATTTGTCTATTAAATTATTTTAGATTTGGTTTAATAAATAATTAAAAAAATTTTTTTAAAGTAGTTTAAATAAATCTGATTTAAAGTAATACAAGTCTATAAATAGTTAATTTTTTATTATTTTATATAGTAAAATATAGTAAAAATATAGTAAAAATATAATAAAAAATTAATTATTTATAATTTTTTATATATTAAACTAATTTTAATAATTTTATTATTAAGGGTGTAGTGACATAGAGTAGTGGTTAAGTTGTCACCCCCAAGCGGCAAGTCTAGAGTTCAATTTCTACCAGAGACATTTTTTAAAAAAATAGACCTGTATTCTGGTAACATTTATTCGACGATCAGTTGAGTATATTACCTGTAACCTTAGTACTACCATCTTATTATAGAAGCTTTAGAGTGATTCAAATCTAAGGAACTAGAATATTTGAAACCCGTTTGGCAAGACCCAAGCTAGAAGTAGTAAAGATCTTTGATGATACTACGAAAAATTGAAACTGGAGACCGAAGAACCAGATGTACAACCCTGGGGCAAGAAAGGTCCACCAACCTGGCCACCAGAGTCACACCGGAGGAAAAGGTCTGATGCTACAGAATTCAAAACCAAGAGAAGTAAAATCAAAAAGTACTTAGAGCCTAGATACAACAACTCATCTGGGCTAACTGGTTTGGTAGTCGGAGAAAAATTGGTATAAAGGCTAGTTAGAAGTGGTTATCAGGGTCAGAACGAACCTTGTAAAGGCAAGAAGTAGGTTATGGTAGCGATACAGAAGATCGCAAGTTCCAGTCCTCAGATTGGGGCGTAAGTTTCTGAAAAACTCAAGTAATACATGTGTGGGACATAGACAGCTCTAGTAGGTTTACCACGAGGATAAAGTAGTTCTAAGGGGCCTTAGTGACAAGAATTCTTCTGAAAAAAGCATCTGACGGTGCTAAGTCAATCCGAGGATTTAAATAGGGGATCCACAAGTGGATCTTAGGTATAGCAATTGGTGGGTAACTATAGATAGAAATAGATATAGCGGAGCTCTTAATTAGATAATTACTAAAGTTGTACATGTAACTAATTATACTCTCGTTGATATAAAAAAATCAAGAGTGCCTATTCAG